TTTTCTCTTGAAGATTTATACTAATCTAGAGATTTATACTAATTTCTAGATCTTTTTTTCAAGTGCATTGTCTCAATTAGCAAAGTGTCTCACTTACCAGCTCAACACTGCAAAAATGATCTCAAAATGAGTAAAAAATTTCTTAAATTAAGGGTATTTACCCTTATTTTGAGCAGGTAAATAAGATGATTTGCCAATGGAATTAGTATTTTTACTCTTAAAATAAGGTATCTAGATAAAATGCACTTGAAATAAGACAATGCAATTGTTTTTTTCTTATTTTAAGTGTAAACTGTCTTGTTCCATTGGCAAAGTGTCTCACTTAAATCCTTAATTCAAGAAAAAAATGCACTTAATTTAAGAAGAAATGACTTATTTAGATTTCATTTTTTTGCATTGAATTCAAGAAAAAATGCGTTTATTTTAAGAAACATTGCCTCATTTAGATTTACTTTTTTTGCAGTAAATATAGATTTATTTGCAGCATATGGTACACTGCAAAAACCATCTAAAAATGAGAAAAAAAATGTCTTAAATTAAGTGTATTTACCATTTATTTTAGTAGGTAAATAAGATAATTTGCCAAAGGAATGAGTATTTTTAGTCTCAAAATAAGATAATTAGATAATATTCACTTGAAATAAGACAATGCAATTGTGTTTTCTTATGTTAAATGTAAAGTGTCTCAATTACCTCCTCAATTCAAGAAAAAATGCACTTATTGCAAGAAAAAAATACTTATTTAGATTTCAATTTTTTGCAGCGTAGATGGTAAATTCTCTGCTTCTCTGATGGCAGACCTTTTGTAGGAGTAACAGGACTATTTCTTTCCTCAGGTTCAGGTAGTGGACCCGGATAAGGACGAGAACGGTCGCATTACGATGGCCCTCCAGATGGGCATGCCGCGCCTTGACTTCCACCTCAACACCTCCACCGGCGTTCTCACCTCCACGGCTGTGCTGGATCGGGAACAGATCGGCCAGTACCACTTGAGGATTGTTGCTCATGACGCCGGGGAGTTTCCTCGCACCTCCACTTCAACTCTCACCGTCTCAGGTGACTTTTGATTGGCTCTCTCTGCTTGAGAAAATT